CTTCAAAATACTAATAAAAAATAAGCTGACCTAGAATACTTTACCCAGCAAAATAATCATTCAAAAATGAGGGGGAAATTTTTTTCAGTCATTTTTGGACTAACAGTTTAACATGCACCAACCCCCACTGAGGCAACAACTAAGTGAGAAGGGCAATAGGATGTAACGATGTTAGCATAAGGATTGATTCAATACACTGACAAACGCTATTGCCTAACGATTATAAAACGGTAATTTTTAAAAGAAAAATGACAGGACTATCACTATAAGAAAGATGAAAGGTAGTTTCATTATTAGTTAGAATGTTCTATAACATCTATCTTATTTGGGAGATAAATATGTGAAATAAATGTATAGCATGTTATAAAATTAGATAAATTACCAAAAATATATAAACATATAAAGACCAGACAACAAATGAATAGAAACACTATCTATAGCTTCCAAAATATATTAGAGGTGTCAGGGAGAGAATACTGAACAATTTGTCAAGACAAAAAAAAGTAAATGAAAGAAGATGATGCAAATGTAGATAAATTAAGTTACCCAACTATAAAGCAGAGAATATATGAACAAAAATTACAAAAACTATATACATTATGGTTCCAATGGTATAATTCATACATGTGCAACACACACACACACACTCCAGATAAAAATATAGCAAAATATTAAGGTTATTTATCACTGGACTGTAGGATTATAAATATATTTTTTACACTGTGGTTTTCAGTATTCTCTAATTTTCCATGCTGAACTGATATGCATTTTTAAATTATAATAAAAAGTTATTTTAATAGAAGCTATTCAGTGCATTTGAAGTGAGTTTATAACACCAGTTTTCTTTCCTCAAACAAAAAAAATAAACATCAGAAATTTGCAAATTGTGAAAAATAAGAGGCCTAACCACATATAAATCAATACAAGCAATTCTAAAGACTTGGTTTCCGCATATATCTCATATCTCTGGATACTGACATTACTTCAACTTGAAGACAGAGCTAATTTTAAACATTTTCAAGTCAGGTACTGGAGGCAAGGGGAGGAACAGAGGATACAGGGAAGAATTTGCATGAAAACATTCTCGCCCAGTTCCGGTAACTTAATTACTCAATGCTCAGTACGTGTTGAGTCGATTTAAGTCATGTGGCAAGTACTACAGCTTCTACCCAAGAAAGGCACTGGACCAGAAATCATCCCTTGGCATGCCTTCATCATGAAAAGCTGCTGACAGCTAGAAGAGATCAAAAGCAGATCAGGTTGCTTAACAAACCACATGTCACTGAGCTCCGAGAGCCAGGGCACCCTGTGGAAATCTTGGGAACAAGCAGAGAAACCAAACGCAGCGGCTGCTCACTCTTAAAACATTAACATGAGATTCCGTTGTCTTATGAAAATGTCTAAGCCATCACATGTTTTTTCTCAGTCTTTCCTTAAAAATAAAAGTCAAGTCTCTAAACTGAGGCAGAAGTGATATAGCCAGAAAACAAATGTCTTAATGGCTTTTCTTAGCTCTTTATCTAACTAATCATACAATTTATTCCATTTTTTCCCTTATGATGAAGAGACAATATTTATTGGCTATTTATACAATGGAAGTATTGGGATAAATTCTTTTCATGTATCATCTCATTTTTTAAAACCTTCTTAAAACAACTTACTTCTCGCAAAATGTGGACAGGATAGTTGAGTCTCTTTTTTTTAAATGATTTTAATCCTCATCTGAGGATGTTTCTTGATTTTAGAGAGTGAGGAAGGAGTGAGGAGGGAGTAGGGAGGAGAGAGAGAGAGAGAGAGAGAGAGAGAGACATCGATCAGTTGCCTCCTGTAGCATCCTGACCGGGGATTGAACCTACAACCTAGGTATTTGCCTTGAACAGAAAACAAACCCACGACCTTTTGGTGTAAGGGGCTATGCTCCAACCAACTTAGCCACCCAGCCAGTGAATGACCTAATTTAATCACTTAGAAAGAATCACTTTTAATAGGCTACATTTACCAAAATAGACATTATTTTAAACTAATTATATCCAAAATAACATAATACAATAATCTCCCATTTGACTTCCATTTAGTCACATGAATGCACGCATCACATTTATTTAGACCCATCTCGTTCCAAAAAGGGACATGAAGCAGTTTTATTTTATGCCTTGTTGGTACGAAATGCTACATTCATGCTGTGTCCTTCCCAGAAATGGAATTTAATTACGTTTTGGTTCAAGAGATTTCCTTCCTCGTGTTACAGAACATCTTATTTGCTATACACAGTCTCAATTTTTGGAAAAGCAAGACAATAAGAGGGATGATTAAATTATGCTCTTTGTCCGTGTTTAGAGGATACCTCAGCCTTGTAAATAGCTCGGGCTGTTCTCATTTGACAAGAATGGCAAGACATAATTGCATCATTTCATGAACTGCAGTTCCACCTCCCCACCTTCGCTGTAAGCTTGTCAGAGGCCAACGTCGCGCTCCTGGCACTAACATGGAACCAGGCCTGTGCTTCTCAGGGAGTGTTCTACCAACTAGAAAACCTACCAGATATTCTGTGAAAAAAACGTGCTCGTGGTCAAGTTGGAAAATTTCTGCTAACCCTTCTTTCAAAGAACACTGTGAATTCTTTATATTTACTTGGTTATGAAAATACCCCATGTCTACAATATCAAATAGTCACAAACTATGCACACACTTGAGAAAATACTATGGTAGGGAAATGCTCTAGGTGCTAATTTAGGAAATAGACTTTTCAGAGAAGTCTGTCTTATTACATATAAAGAGTGAACCCTTTGAGTTAAAGGCTTAAAATCATTACCATCTTAAGCCTCTGAAGCAATGAAAATTGCTAAGATGCTCCTTCAGTGGTTTTTAACGTTCTGTGGCCGCCATATTGCTCAAGAAGACAGATGTACAACAGGGAACAGTACAACGGAAGTGGTTACTGGTCCTTTTCAAGCTCATTATGTGGGGTCTGTTAGTTCTCTCTGTTTAGCTCTAGGTCTTGTGAGAACCTGCTGTTTTCATGGCTACAAGTATATTTAATAACTATTGGAAGAAAGCATGTAGGTATGAAAAATCGGTAACATTCCAATCTTTGGCAAACATAAATCCCCTAGTAGTAAGATTACCATTCTTCTCCTTTATCAAATCACCTGTGAACTATGAAATCCTATTTGCAAGACTGAATTGTTGATTGAAGTGTCAATTATTTCTGATAGCCCAGAAATGCCTCTAGCACTGAGAGAGATTAATAAACAAAACAATAGGCCAATATACCTGGTATAATTTTGAAATATGATAAATAGTATATATGAATAGTTTGGTTTTTTATTGTTTTTAAGAATCTTATTTAAATTCACAGTAACACAGTGTTATACAAATGTAATATAATTTTATTTATTTTTAAAACAAGGAAGTCATTCCTGGGTTCAATATACGACCACCCACATTTGAGAGTACCCACAGCACCCACAAATGCACAATATGCTTAGGATCATAGTAAATGCTGCTGTGTATTTAGGAACTACAAGCAAAATGTGTGATATTGCTGTGTTGATTTTAATCCATATAGATTAATAGGGGTAAGCATTTCAAAATTGGGGTAGAATCACTTAAAAAGTATATCATCTTTTTGGTGTCTGGACAGGGGTAATTTTCATGTAGTAACACATTAAATGAAAATCTCATGTAAATTGAATCACTCCCTGTTTGTGCTTAATAGGGTTATTGGGTTGGCCAAAAAGTCCGTTTAGTTCTTTCCATAAAATAAAAGACACGTTTTTCATTATCACCAACACCCTTATTGATTTGGATATTTTGAGTATGTCAGCTGTCTCCCACTACTGGCTTCTAGTGGGTAGAGGCCAGGGGTGCTGCTCAACATCGTCCAGTGTATAAGACAGCCCCATGGCAAAGAATCATTTGGCCAAAATGTCAATAGTGCCAAGAAATTTCGCAATCACAGCACCTTCTCCATACACTGTACCAATCTTGTTTTGTGTTTCAGTTGCATTTTTGCCTTTCTTGAAATAATAAAGCATAATACACCAAAAATGTTGTGTATCTTCTTTCATCTTCCATATTAAAATGGCTGCACAAAAATTCACCAATGTTGATAAGTTTTTAAAAAATGCATGCTGATATGACAGCTGTCACAATACAATGTAACAAAACTGTTTCCGACGAAGTTAAAGACAACTGATCACTATAGAGTCATCATACAGAAACAACCAAATGAACGTGTTGGCCAACCCAATAGATGGAGGTTTAAGTAGACAGCCAAGGTGTTCCCAGCTCTGTACCAATAAGGAACCTCATGAACAGAAAATAAAAGGAATTTTACTTACAGAAATAATTTTTAAAAGTGTAAACTATTTGCTTTTGTGTGAATGTTACTTTTAATTTAGAAATCTGAAGAACTTCAAACTCTCTTCAAAATGGTTTGATATAAGGTTTCTCAACTAACAATAAAACATATATGCATGTGTGCTTTCTGACCAAATATGTGAAAGAAGATATTTTGTTCCCAAGAGAAGTTCACAAGCGTCAAAATATTGGGCAAATACATGAAGGGAGGGTTGGGAAAGACTAGTCATCTTTTAACAAGGACAAGATAAATGTACAAATGTTCTTGGCTATGAAGTAAAAACAAAACAATCAAATTTCCTCCCGATGAAAAGGATTTCTATTCAAATAACCAAGATACTTTTCCATAACTAAATTTCTAATACACATAACTTTTTAATAACAAAAGAATAAGGTTTCCTTGCCATGCCAAACAAATTTTAGTTCTACAAGGCTGTGAAAGACATTTTGTCCAAGAACATCGAAAAGTTTGACTTCTTTCTTTAAAACAACATAGATCCTTGTGTATGTAATTTTATACATATGTTCACCAATATGTTGTGAACAACTTTTCCATTTCAATAAACATCATTCAGGTTTAAAGGCAAAAAAAAAGCACATAAATAACAAGCATGAGTTTCTTTAAGATTGTAAGTTACCTTTCAAGTCCTTCTTTAGTTTTCTGAGATCTTTTTGAAAATCTTCAAACTTCATCTGTGAAGCCTGAAAAAGGTCCTGAGGTTCTGGTAATGGAAAAACACACTGTTCTTTTCCGGCATCCTAATTAGCAAGAAACACAGAAATTTTAAACAAATCAGCATTAATATAAGTAAGAATAATGCAACAGTGGCAACAACAAAACGACAAAAACAAATACAGTCCCATCTATCAACAATAAATAACAAAATACACCTATTATGCAAAAATTGCCTTACCTCGTCAAAATTCCGAAGATAATAGGAAACAATATATGACAAAAGGCTTCTGCTATTGTCCTAGGCAGAAAGATCAAAGTAAATAAAAAATGCACTTTTTATTACTAACTATGCAACATTAAATAAAATAAATTCCAGGAAATCAGTTCGTATAGATGAGAACATTTAGAATGAAATGTGAAATTCTATATTTCAAATGACTTTAGTGACTATATCTCAGGGTGGCATAGAAGATCTTATTTTGCCCATTGTTCCCATCTGAGCTCCAAGAGTTGAGCACAGCTGCTTCGGGGTGGAGTGCCAACTACAAACACTTTCCTGCTTTCACTCTCCTCTGTCAGGAAGTTAGTTTGATAATTTATGTTTTACTATTAAGAGGTATAACTACTATCTTAACTGAAATAATGAAATATTGCTAGCGTTTCTAGCCGGACCAAGAGATATCATGCCAACAGTAAGTTTGACTGTCTTGTTGGTACATAGATAAGGGAAATAAAAAAAGTTAAGTATTATTTCAGGTAATCAGGAGCTTTAAAAATGCAAATACATATTAAAAACTGTTCTGTCAGCAAATGAAGTTAAAGAATTTATATCTATGCAGCTCTAAATAATGGAAAAATTTGAAATTGTACAGGAAAAAATATAAAATTGTTTCATGTCTACCAGTCTTCAAAAAACAGTTTTTCACCTTTTTTCTGGAACATTTGGAGGCATTATTTTTTAATTTTTTTTTTTTTGCATTGCTCAAAATGAGTACTAGATACGCCGAATGTGGGAGACCAAATATGCATTTTAAAAACAAATGCTGGGATACTAACTATATCCCCTATAATGTTCAACCTAACCATCACTTTCCCCCTATTTATAAAAAGAATAACATCCTTTTGTAATTGAGCTTGACATGATATGGTGGCACATCTGTTAGAGACGCCTTTCATAGTAATGCATGATAGTAGTAGTAAGGATTAATAATAATACAATATCTATTACACAGTAATATATAGCAATAATATTAGTAAAACATATTTATTAGGAACAAGATTTGCTTGTAAAATAACTTAAGCAACTTGACCTTCTTTCACTTTCCTAAGTTGTAAATCAATGAAATGTTAGCAGCATCTGAATCAATTAACACAACATTTATTAAATGCCTGCTGATAGGCATGCTGTGTGAAAATTCTGGGTGATCTGAGTAAGAGCTCTCTCCAGGCAGGTTTACAGACAGTATTAAAGAGTATAGTTATAGTTGTTTTATAGAAAAAGAACCAAATCAGGAAGAATTTGCACAGCTCTTGTGAGAACGCAAATGAAATCATTTTCTAAAAAGTCCTTCTTCCTGAATCATTGTTTAATTTTTATCTAGATTACTCCTCAATCATTTAAATTAGTAAAATTTAACTTACTGGGGGATTGAATAAGATATGTCAACCAAATAAAACAAATCTTTTATTCATATATAAAATGATTATCAAAATCACTTCAGATACATTTTTTAGATTTATTTATTTTTAGAGAGAGGAGAGGGGAGAGAGAAAGGGAGGAAGAGAAACTTCAATGTGAGAAAGAAACATTGATCTGTTGTTCCACTTATGTATGCACTCACTAGTTGATTCTTGTATGCGCCCTGCCTGGGGACCAACTCTACAACCTAGGCATGTGCCCTGGATGGGAACTGAACCAACAACCTTTTGGTTTGTGGAACGTGGGATGATGTCCAACCAACTGATCCACACCGGTCAGGGTCAGACACATTTTTATAAGTTAAACATTATGTCAATGTTATATATTCCTATATTATTTGCAAAAGTTACTGTTTCAATCCAGCAAGCAGCTGCTAAGAACTATTCAGGAACTGCCCAGCGTTTAGAGAGCTTTTGTTTTTGAACAAATGTGATTTATAAGGTTGACTTACTGAAGGTTCCTGTGAAAGCATATATCATACAAATAAAATAGCATTTGAATACACATAATCATGAAAATCACAAAAAGTATATGCTCTTGGTATTCCAAGAAGGGACTATGTTTTCCTCAATTTTGGAAACACACTGTGGACATATGAGTGGACATATGAGTGAATAAACGAGTTGTTGACCAATAGAAAAAAACAAGCAGTATCTCTTTCTTATGAGGGAGATCAGTTCATTATCTGGAAAGAACAATTTTATGTATTGTCATCTTTATAAGCCAACTGTTTACTTAAGTTCAATAGTATAAAAACATATCCATAATCTCCTTCATTATACAGTTGTGCGCGGAGGCTCTTTTATCAGAGAAACAGAATTCTTTTATTTTTGCAGTTTACAATCTCAGACTTCAATTCTTACCATTGCGGTTGTTTTCCTAAACTTGTATTTCTGCTGATACTCTCAGAATCTTTTAGATGTCAATTTTAAAGAAACAAAACTATAGAAGGGGGATCAGAAAGTAATTTGGCTGCAAAAGGGCTTGGGAGTTCCGATACATCCCAGCATCAAGAAGACGACTATATGTAGGAAAACAGAATCATCTTTCATTTACAAACTACTTTCACTCATCTTTATTGTACTTAAAACGAAGGGAAAAGAGAAGGTAATAGATATATGAAAATTAATTAGTCCTCAGGGTCCAAAAAAATAAATATTAGCAGGCACAGTAAGGTGAAAAAGTAATTATTTTTATTTTAAAATATTGCTTACCTAAGTATTCATCACACATAGAACTCAGAACCACTCACTTTAGGAAACAGTATGATTCACTAAATCACAAATACATGATGGCCATTACTTTTACCTAGTTCAGAACATAAACGTTTGACCTTGGAACTTAAAGAAATATTTATTACAACTGGTTTGTAGTCCAACTTATTCCTAAACAAGACGTCTAATCCTCCGTTTGCCTACATTCACTCATACAAAATACTTACACTGCTTTTGACATCTTTAAGCTTCGGAAGAATATCTAATCCAAAACCATCTGCCTGTCCCCGAGTCTTATTTCCGCCATTCATGTAGTTGCCAAAGGCAAGAACCAAACCCAGAACCTGCATAACCCCTGGGCCATTTTTTAATGTCTGCAAAACAGAATAAAGAACAATTTCTCTCTTACACAAAGTTTTGTTTGAATTACTGTAAGTTAGCGGCAGATATTCCTGTTATACTAATCATTTTGGGTCACATCCAAATTTTATATTATTGTTCATTGATATATTTGAAGAGCAGTATCCCCAAAGTGAAAAAATCTAGGCTATTTCTAAGAAACATATAAGGCTATACCATGACAACTACTACAAAATAATTTCATTGCCATCATCCTAATTGTACCTACCACTGAGGCAACAGACATTTTTGGCATAGTTGTGGCAAACTAAAACACAGTTACAAGCATTAATGTCCAAGTTTAGATTTATCCCTGAAAAATTCATGGTCACTTCTTTGGAAACACAAAGTTTAACACGAATTTTCATGTCACTTCCTCTGGAAATGTGTGTTTCATAACTTCTTACTACTTTTCAAAATGATTTGCCACAACCAGAAGAAACAGCGCTATTGATTTGTTTCAAATTGTCTTAACATTCAAAACATTCTTTGTTTTCAGAAGAATATTGATCTTCTGTGGAATCATGCAGCTGTTTCTAAATCATTTGGTTGGAATCATGCACACTTTACTGTGAGACCTTTCCAAATAGGAAGGAAAGAAAATAAAATGCCCTGAAGCCGCCTTTCATTGAAGTTTGATGCATGAGACGTCTATGAGAAGTGAAGGTTCAGCTTTGGCAAGAGCAGAAGCGACAAAAATCTCTGGAGGGCGAGGAGCAATGGCCACATTCGGGCACAGTGGTCCCCTGTGGACCAGTGCGCCTACTTGCCCATTTACTTTGTTCTTGAACCTCAGTCTTAACATGAACTCTTCTGGGAGACTGCTACCCTTCCGATTTTATGAGTACTTCGAATAAATAAAAGCTTTTTTGAAATATGAATGTGCCTGAGCAAGATTAAAGACCAGAATCCAAGCTTCCGCTCTCTGGACACCGTAACCCACCTCACACAATTTCTGCAGCAATTCAAGCTTGCGACGAATTGAGCAAATGCTTTCTGAAAACGTGGACTGGAACAGGATGCAAAAGACTCGCTCTGAAAAGTTGGGGATTAGTGACAGCTCGTAAAGAAACCTAGGGAAATAAAGCCAAGTTGAGAGGAAAAAATAGAACTCATTCAAACAGACGTTCAACCTCGTATCATTCCTAACAACTATGAACGGGAGACACTGCGTTTTCCGAGCGGAGGGAGCCCCCCCGCCCCGAGCCCGGACGCCCACTGCGGGATCTTGAGGTGTGCTTACTGTTCAGGCTTGTCCAGAGACTTGGCGTTTTCCTTGTCTTTGGAGGACCGGCCGTGCTTTTCGATTTTTTCCAGTTCATCGGACTGTGCCCTCTGGAAATCAAAAGCCAAGCTGATTTTCAAAATCTGGTCAATTGAATTCCTTAGATAATGATGATCTTAATACAGCACAACTCTATATATTTTCATATTTCTTAGCATTTCTCTATACCAAAGCTTGACTTCATTCATGAGGCATTTGAAAGTGTAAATATGCTTAATGAAAACCAGATCATCTCCAAATCTTCCAAAAAATGTTATTGACTATCAGTGATCTGCAAAACATTTATTTATTCAAGCGTGTTTTGAAACAATACAGTCTCCTTCTCTTGTTTTTTTGGCTGTTTATAATACTCTCCAGAATGCAAGAATTTCATTTTTAAATGGTATTTCTTGTAAAGGAATCAATTAAATTCGGAAATAATTTGACCTTAAGGTTGTTATAAGATTGTTAAAGGAAAAAAGTACTTATTTAACTATTACAATCATTGTTTATGGCTATTTTTTCTTAGGGGAAAGAAGAATACAATTGAATGATTAAGTCATGAAACAAAAATAAAAGGTTTTGATCCTTTTGCTGAATTTTCTTTTTGACACAAAAATGGTCCCAGACTCCTTTTCTTCCTACAAGTGTTTTCTTTCAACCCTTTATAGTATCAGCTAAAAATGTGTCAGCCAAAATTTGTTTCGTTATAGAGAGGATCTTCTGCATTTTTAACTTGAAGTAGAAGACTTTATAGGCTTGGAGAATCACAAAACTATTTTTCTTTATGGAGAATTTGGAGGATTTTTATTTGTAGTCTTGCCTTTTTTATAATTCACAAAGATGTTTCAAAACAATCAAATACTACCTTTTCTAAATGCATAAACAGGTGTGAATAAACTACCATAATTTGAATTACAGTCTAATCCTCAGAACTTAAAATCCTTTCAACATTATTTTTTGTTTCAACAGAAAAGTAGTTCAATCAAGAGCTACTGCAGAAGACAGAACCTGAGAAACTTCTAGAGACTCTATATATTTCATTTAAACAAAGCTATGTTCTGTTTTGTGTTCACTGTTTTTGAAATGCAGGTTTTCAGTTGATGAGGTCAATGAAGACAAGTTCCTCAAAGGAAGCTTCTAGTAACAGGGGAAGAGGATTTGATGACTGATCAGTGATCTTCTGTGGGTTTGATAAATTTTGATTTTGGAATATAATAAAACAAAAGTATATAAAGAAGCAAAGGAGTGTATTTAATATAAATATCCTACGCTACTCCAAAAATTTAGAAATTTAGACCCTTCATTTAGAATTGCAATTGCATAGTAAGCTTACTTTACAAAAATTTTTTTACATATGTTTATTGATTTTAGAGATAGAGGAAGGGAGGGAGAGGGAACAGGGGAGCAAAGGGAAGAGAGAGAGAGAAAAGAGAGGGAGAAACATTAAAGTGGAAGAGAAACATCAGTTGGTTGCCTCCCACACACGCCCTGTCCAGGAATTAAACGTGCTACCTTTTGGTGTATGGGACGATGCTCCAACTAACTGAGCCATGCTGGCCAGCGCAGTAAGCTTACTTTTTTTCCCTCCAGCTTATTGTGGCTTTGCCGCTGAATTCTAGGAGAGTAAACACCACCTCATTTACTTAAAGTTACCACTCATCAGAAATAGGCTCCAGATATCAGCGTAATTCATAATATGTAGTTAGCAGTAATTTTTTAATGGGAAAATCAAATTAATAATTAAATAGGAATGAAGAAGTCCTCTAAGTCAGGGAAGAGGACAGAGGTGAAAAGGAGAAGGATACTAATAACAGGACAATATAAGAAATACTGAGAACATAATAATATGCAGATAATGCCAACTGTTTCTCATCATCCCAAGAGTATAATGGAGGTCTGAATGAGGTAATTTGAATTCTAAAATAGATGGCTATGGATGTGTATAATAAAATCAGTCTTTTCAGTGCTAGGATACAAAGAGGTAAGTAAAGAAAGAAGTAAGCTATGCCCAGAAAAAGTACATACGAATTCACTGATCTTTACCTTCATTCAATACAACTCTTTCATGCACACATCATCCTTCTCATATGCAGGAATATTTATGAGTATAAAGGTACAACAAGTAGGCCTAAAATACAATAGATTTTTTAAACAATGTTAATCAAATCTTCAAGTTTCCACTATTCATTAACACATCATGACGACCTATTTCTAGCCCATCATCTTGACTTTCTTCTTGCAAAACATGAGGGATAAAGCAAAGGCCAATTATTTTCCACTTTCTAAGAACCCAAACTCTTTTTCTTATCAGCAGCCATACAATGTATGTGAAATTTGTACTAGCTATTATCTGGATAATGTTTGCTTTGTTTGGTCTTCTAAGTAAATTCAGTCTAAAGTGTTCCTCTCTGGTCCACAAGTTTAAGGTAATCGACAGAGTCAGGCTTTTAAATAGATGAATTGCAGGGATTCATTCATCATGCATTTAAAGGTCTATTGTTTACCAGGCATTATGCCAGACACTAGGGATAAAAAAAAATCCACGTGGGGTTTCAGATTCAAGTAAAACCCCACAATACAACAGACTAAGTTTTTTATAACACCACTCTTATTTGCATAGTCCTTGTATCATGATCTTCTTCCACTGCTTTTTAAACCTCTCTGCGGTTTTCTATATATGAAGAGGATGCTAGTGATCACACTACCATATTAATGGTGACGGGAAGCATTTATTAAAATAGGTTCATTCTTCCTATGGCCAAAGATAAGGGCAAAGTAGCTACATGTTTTACACATCAACTGATAAAACAAAGAACTTTCCAAGTTCTAAATATTCAAATAATAAGCCTTCTTTCTTCCAATCTCACCTCTTTTCAGAGTCGAACATCCCTTCTAAGATTAAATCTTCTAGTCTCTTGTAATACGAAGATTATTTTGGCTTCCAGTCAAGATGGTGGAGTAGGTAAAGGCTGGGTTCACATTCTACTACAGCCACATCAACCTTACATCTAAGTTACAGAACCACCCCCAATCAGAACCACTTGAACACTAGCTGAACAGAACTCACATATCACAGGGTTTAAAGAAGAAGCCACCTCAAGGCTGTTTGGTTGGGTAGAGATGCAGAATGCACGGGCTCTAAAACCATGGTGTGGCAATTAAGAATTGGGAGGGATATCTCAACTGCAGAAGTGAAGGGAGGGGTCCAGTTGCACTCTGGACTCCCCAAACCTGGGCACCAGTGCCAGGAACAGGAGACCCCACAACATCTGGCTGTGAAAGCTGGGGGATTGCATCCAAGAAGGACATGGGGCTGCTGAAGACTAAGGCTAAACTCCTATGAGGCCCGCACCTACACTTACTTGCTCACAAACTCATTGTCCTCGACTCTGGTGAAGGAACAGCAGCTCAAAGAGCACCAAGGGCATACAGGGAGGAACTAACTTGACTAACTTAAAGGCAAGGGATAGAGGGACAGGGGTCAAATCAGCTCTCTCCAGGGACAGAAGTGTTGTCAGGTGCCATTGTCCCCCTGTAGGGCTCCCCCTCCACCCAGCCGGGGCGGCACAGGCAGGTGCCAAATCTGAGCTCTCCATTAACCAATGCTGCTCACCAGGGCTATGACTTCCTGAAACCCTGCCACAGTTGACTTGCCTGCCTGGTCTGAGCTTTCTGCAGGGCTCCTCCACACAAAACAACAAAAAAGAAAAGAGAAAAACTAATTTTAAGAAATGATGACAATTTAAGAAGCCTCTGAGATTATATCAGTCATACGAACATTTGCATCATAGGAGTACCAGAAGGAGAAGAGAGACAGAGAGGGATTGAAAACTTACTTGAAGAAATAATGGCTGAAAATTTACCTAAGCTGGTGAAGGAAATAGACACACAAGTCCAGGAAGAACAGAGAGTACCAAACAAAATGAATCCAAAGATACAACATAATTGAAATGCCAAAGATCAAAGACAAAGAGGGAATCTTAAAAGTAGCAAAAGAAAATCAATTAGTTAAGTAAAAAGGAGCTCCCTAATACTATCAGCTGATTTCGGAATGGAAGCTTTGCAGGCCAGAAGGGGGTGCATGAAATATTTCACATCTTGAACAGTGAACACCTACAACTAAGACTGCTCTTACCAGCAAGGCTATCATTTAGAATCAAAGGGAAAAGAAAGTTCCTAAAACAAGGAAAAGCCAAAGGAGTCCCCCACCACCAAACCAGGATTACAAGAATCCTATTAAAGAGACTTACAGCAGGAGCTGATTCCTTAAAAGATAAACAAAATCGATAATCGTTTAACCAGATTCATCAAGGGAGTCCCCTATAAATAAAATCAGAAGTGAAAGAGAAGTGACAACTGAAACCACAGAAATACAAAGGATTATAAGAAAACACTACAAGCAATTATACTCCGACTAATAGGACAACTTGGAAGAAATGGATATATTCCTAGAGACATGCAATCTACCAAGAGTGAATCAGGAAGAAGGAGAAAATCTAAACAGACTGATAACTATTAATAAAATCGAACTGGTAATCAAAAATTCCCAACAAACAAAAGTCCTGGAGCAGATGCCTTCACAGGCAACCAAGTGAATGGGAGAATATGGGGTGGGGCAAAAGTAGGTTTACAGTTCTGAGTACAACAGTTTATTATTTATTATTGTATTATTTTCCATACAAACAGCTGTAAACTTACTTTTGCCAACCCCTGGATATTCACAAAGAATATATCCCATAGGAGTTGACTTCAACTCAATAACAACAACAACAACAACCCCTGATGAACCTCTGCCCCAACATCAACTCCAATTCCCCTATGTACTAACTTCCAGAAACAGAAATTCTCACCCAAAATACATTTAGTTTTCCACACCTATACCTTTGATCAAGCTGCTCCTTTTTCTGGGAACATCTTAATTCTTCTCTCAGACACATTACTGTCTGCCACATGAGAACAACTCTAAACACTGCCTGCCATGAAGATTATCCCAGCTCCCCCAAGATCAAATAACGGTTGGCTCCTCCGCAGCGATCATGCTTTTTCCGCAGAACTCTATCCTGGCACT